GGCCATGTGTTCCGGACCCCGCACAACGTTTCCGTTTTTTCGAAAAGCGAGGGAGTGGCCCATTTTCGCTTAAACGGGAATTTTTCAGTTTCAACGGGATTCAACGGGAGTTTAATTCCCCCGTTCCCTATTAAAAAGACACACAGATCAACCCTACGTTGTGGGACAGAAAACAAAGAAACCAACCCTACGTCATGGGACAGAAAACAAAGAAAAGGAAAAGGAGAGGAGAAGTAAATGTGTGTGTGTGTGTGTGTGTGTGTGTGTGTGTGTGTGTGTGTGTGTGTGTGTGTGTGAGAGAGAGAGAGAGAGAGAGAGAGAGAGAGAGAGAGAGAGAGCGATGACCCACTGAGATTTCCTAGCCTGAGGCTATTTTGCTGGATCTCCCGAGTATATATGTGACCTGCTGGTAGTGTACGTATGCCGTGTGCTTGCCTGTGTTTAAGTCTCGACGTTGTCCGAGGTGTGTTTCTGTGCCTTAGATGATTTTGCTGTGTATGTGACCTGCTGATGATGCATATGCCGTATGGCTGCCTGTGTTTAAGTCTGTGTCCACGTTGTCTGTGCTGTGTTTCTGTGCCTCGTACTGGCGTAGATTAGCCAATAGGTGTCGTTACATGGACAGACCCAACATTGGCTACAAAGGCACTTGGGCTTAGGAGAAAGCCCGGGAGTTTCCAAAAGGTCATGATGGTCCAGGGTCTCTGTGTAGTTAGGTGTCAGGTTAGACTGTGCGCAGGGGTTAGATTTGCAGACTGCAATGATGTTACCACGGAAAGGCAGGAATTCTGGCAGGCTTAGCGAACCGGCAGAGGTAGGAAGCTACCCACAGTATGTAGTCGTGGGTATATCACTCGATACAATGAGTAGGGTGTGCATCAACCGGCAGTCATGCTGCTGCTCCGCCAAGAGGGTGAAGAGGCGAAGCTTCGGTGAGCAAGGTGGAGGGTGAGAGTAGAGCTCCACGAGTATGGTGGAGATGAGGGGGAGTGCGTAGCTATGAAGGGAGCACTAGTTGGAGCCCTGATGACTATGGAGTTCGGAGGAGAGTGGACAGCCAGAGGAGCGAGGTGGAGGGAACTGAGAGGACTTACCTTTGGCTGTTGTGGACCTTCACCTTCACTTGCCTGGCTGGTTCTGCAGCTGGATTGGACCTGGAGGGGATCTGGTATACTTCTTCTTCATCTAAGGAGACTGGGTATGGCCGTAGGAGGAGGGAGATGCATAGTGGGCAGTTTTGTTCTTTGAACATCCAAGCATGGCAGGAATGATCTGTATACCCTATGCTTGGGTATACCATAAGCTATATTCCATAGCTACCTGGTCATCAAAGTGGTGTAGCGATAGAGAGGAGGCCGAGAGAGGTAGTTCATCTATAAGGCAGTAATGGGGAACTTTCAGATGTCGACTCTTGCTCATTCTTTTGTTTGTTGCTGTTGTGTTTTGTAGTAACAAGTTATCCGCCGCGGCTACACCGGTAGAGGAGAGGGGGAGCTGGGGGAAGAGGGAGAGAGGAAGCAGGAAGGGAAAGACAGGAAAACCCAATGTGAGGAGAGATGCAGAAACTGCAAGTCTGAAGTGAGCTCGAGACTGATCTGCAAGAGAGCACATGCCTGAACCAATCTCAGGAGAAGTGCAGGCATCACACTGCTGAAGTGTATCGGGAGGGCTTCATTGAACCAAGGCACAGACTGAGCTGAGGGGCTGGCTGCTTAAGTCATTTGCCTTGTGACCGATGTTGTGCGTTAGAGGAGAAGAAAGAGGAGAGGGGGAAGTGGAAAGAAAGGAAAACACTCTGGAAGCAGAAGTGTAGAAACTGACGTTGTGAAGCGAGGCCGAAATTGATTTGCAAGAGAGGACGTGTCGGCGAGCAAAGGCACCGACCGGGGCGCATGTCTCAACACCACTGCAGGAATTGCACATCGGAAGCGAGGCTGAAACACTGGCAAAGCCGTTTGTGAGCGATATTGTGTCGTTGTTATTGTCATCTGCTGCGCCTCATCTCCCCGTGTCACCGTTCCTGCCTTCGCCCGACCAACATGCAGTTCGACCTCTTGATTGATACCCTCCCCCCTGCTACCTTCCCCTTCCACGTCGACCTCCCTTCGTCTCCACCTCTTCCGTGCTGCCTTCCTCACGATCCAGATTGTGTGCGATTGCTCCTACTTTCGCGGGTTCCTCTTGACCTCAGCTCCTCTCGACCTTCTGATGTGCTCCTCCAATGTGGACTTCCACCTCCTGATCCCAGGTTGCTTGCTGTCCACATCTCGATGTTTTCCTCCCTTCGGCCTTTGTCCTCGGCCTCGGTCGGATTCCTGCTGCGTCCTCGTTGATGCTCTGCATGCATTCACTTTCTCTACACCTCCGTGCTGTCTTTCTCTCCACTAAATATTTTCCTCCTCGACTGTTCACTTACTATCCAGGATTCGATTCTGATGGTCCCTCCTCCGTGATGTGTGTGTGCGTATGTTTGCTCTCCAGCTCCGTGCTGTCTTCCTCTCCAGCGCTCGATGTCCTTAACCTCGACCTTATGGTGTGGATCCCTGATACTCCCTCTTCGGCGACGTGCATGCGTTTGCTTGTTGTCCATGACTCAATTCTGGCCGCCCCCTGCTCCCGCATGGCATGGATTCGTTTCCTCTCCACCTCTTCGCTGCCTTCCTCTCCAGCACTCGTTATCTTCCTCCTTTCTGATCGTTCGTTTGCTCTCCACGACTCGATTCTGATCCTCCTCGGTGATCTGTGTGCTTGTTCCTTTGCTCTTGATATCCTCCTCTGTCCTCCCTTTCTCTTCCGCCTCGACCTTCGATTTTGGTGCTCCCGTTTTTTGTGACCTCTTTACATGTTTGCCCTCCCCCCCCCATTACTCCGCCTCGACCTCCCTATCCGCTTTGCTGGTGTTCCCTCCTCGGAGATCAGCGAGTGTTCAGTTTCACTGCATTCAGAGGCAGCTTCCCGCCTTTTTGGACAACCGTCTGAAAACCAGCAATCAACGCCAACTGGCCTTTTCTGCAACGAGAAGGAAAAAGACAATGCGAATGCTAGTGTGGCTAGTGTGGTGCTGGTCCCACATGTCCCGCGTGTCTGCGGACGGGAACAGAGTAATGTACGGTCAGTATTTGTACGGAAACATGGAGCAGGCTCAGGTGGGGGAGGTAAAGATCGGGGCCGTAAAGATGCGGGAGGTAAAGATGCTGGAGGTAAAGATGCTGGAGGTATACGATTTGGCTCCGGGCGCTTCGTGATGACAGATGGTGGCGGGCCACGTCCGCTCCCAGTTCTCGTGCACTTCCTTATGCCTGTCTCTTATACACATCTAGATGTGTATAAGAGACAACTACAGCGCCCCCGCTCCAGGACCAGCATTCCCGGAAATTCGGGTGGCACTTACTGCGGTCCCCACCCTCCCCACCAAAGTCTCAATGACGGGACATATAGGGGACAGACAGCGACGGTTCAGGATGGCGCTGGCGACCAAGGCGGTCCGGGTTTCATGTGGAACCATCACATGAGACCTGGGTTAACTTTGCGTTTCCTTCTGCAGGCTCCGGTCGGTTGACCAGAACTACAGTGCCCCCACTCCAGACGGACGGAAACATGGAGCAGGCTCAGGTGGGGGAGGTAAAGATCGGGGCCGTAAAGATGCCGGAGGTAAAGATGCTGGAGGTATACGATTTGGCTCCGGGCGCTTCGTGATGACAGATGGTGGCGGGCCACGTCCGCTCCCAGTTCTCGTGCACTTCCTTCTGCAGGCCCCAGTCGGTCACCCCGAACTACAGCGCCCCCGCTCCAGGACCAGCATTCCCGGAAATTCGGGTGGCACTTACTGCGGTCCCCACCCTCCCCACCAAAGTCTCAATGACGGGACATATAGGGGACAGACAGCGACGGTTCAGGATGGCGCTGGCGACCGAGGCGGTCCGGGTTTCACGTGGAACCATCACATGAGACCTGGGTTAACTTTGCGTTTCCTTCTGCAGGCTCCGGCCGGTCGCCCAGAACTACAGTGCCCCACTCCAGACGGACTTTCCTGGAAATTCCACTGGCACCTGCTGCAGTCCCCACCCCCCCCACTGAGGTCCCAATGACAGGACCTGTAGGGACAGAGCGACGGTCCAGCATCGTGCTGGCTAATGAGGCCGTATGGGTTTCGCGTGGGACCGTCACAGGAGACCTGGGTTAACTTTTTTGTAAGGAAAGATATAGAAGAGGGATGATGATCATGACGATGTAGGTGGAGAGCAGAGGGGATCGGACAGTGGGTCAATCTTGTGTTCTTCTTCTTGGGCTACTACTGTGCTCCATTCTCTTCTCTTTCTTTGTCTTCCAGGTCTACTTGATTGGTGAGGGAAGGCATTGCCTCAAAGTTGACTTCTGAATCAGGAATTGGGCTGGATCACAACACACGCACACACACATGCACACGAACACACACACACACACACACACACACACACACACACACACACACACACACACACACACACACACACACACACACACACACACACACACGAACACCCACACCCACACACACATGCACGCACACACGCACACACATGCCCACACACACACAGGGTAGCAATCTTTACTCACCTCCTCTAACTTTGTCCAGCAGAGTAGCTACAACCCCTACCATTACTGAGAGAACTAAGCCATTTCTTTTTCAAGCTAAATGTTCTTTGGCCAACCCAGGCCTCCTTGCTCAAAGTAAGTCGGGGTTTTTGCATGACGTAGCCTCTCCAATAGAGCAGTAAGGAAGACAAACGAGAGCAGTAAGTCGGGGTTCTTGCATGACATAGCCTCTCCAATAGAGCAGTAAGGAAACAGCTAACCAATGGTTAACCGTTTTTTCTTGCCCAGCGATGGTGGAGAACAAAGTAAGATACAGATTGCAGAACTCTTACATTGCTTGTTCTGTCTTTGCAGACTCCTGAGAGCAAATCCTGGCTACAGTCGTTGATCAGCACTGTCATTGGGAACCTCAAGCTGTCTATCACGAATGTGCATATTCGATATGAGGATACAGTGAGGTAAGTTCTTTCCATGTGCCTTTGTTCCCCCTCTTTGTTCTTAAGGATTCTCTTTTCTTTTTTATGTAGAATTTGGAGGGGTGACCCAGCCCAGGCCAGGTAGCTAAGAGGTACACACATGTAACGGTTACCGAATAAATAACGAGTTTGAATCCCGATGGAATTCCATGGATGCAGAAAAATATGCTCAGGAGTGCGCAGGTGATGACATTCAACACCCTTCCATCTTAGAGTGTGGTATTATGGAATGATGCATCTTGCAAGGCCTTATTCTGGCATGTAGCCTATCATAGGGTCAGGTTGTTCACCATTATATGTGAACAGGAGGCCATGTTGCCGGGTAGGCTTCCTGTTTGGTTGTCAGGGGAAAGGGTGGGGTCTGGGAGTTGGAGTATCGGGGTATGGTTGTTTGGGCGTTGGGGCGAGGGGGGAACGGTGGGAGGTATTTACCATTATAAGTGAGCAGGAGGCTATGCTGTCTTATGTTTAGAACATGTCTTCTATTACGAGGTTTGTGGATGAACTCTAATTTTGCACAGTGAAGCTAGTTGGTGCTGTTTAGCCTTATATAATCTGTCTGGATTCATTGTGCTTTGCGAAATCCGAATAGAAAAGATACCTGTCGAATGCAACACGTACGCGGTCTATTCAAATTGCCCTTCTGTTCGAGAAAAGTTTGCAAGTTATGCTTAGATCATGCGTTCTATTACAAGGTTTGGGGGTGAGCTCTCATTTTGCACGGTGAGGCTAGTTTGGTGCTGTTTAGCCTCAGGTTTGTGCCCCTTTTGGTGGTTTCTTTTCATTTTTCAGTTGGAGTACAGCAGATGCATTCTGTCCTGACCACATTTCATGGCCCGTGAGAATGTTACATGACTCCATCTGCAGTGCTTGCATATTTTATCAACCTCAAGGAGAGGGGAGAATGCGTTCTCTCTGTGAGCTACAATGTATCACATATTGTGCTTTACCTGGATAGAGTGCTGAATTGTGTTGTAAACTTTGAAGAGCTTCACTGTGTGGTATCTGATTTGAATGTAGAGTAGATTACAAACTGAACGAACTACATGCCTTCAATTTGGGTAAGTAGCTGGGCTACCAGCGAGGTGGCCTGGGTCACCCTGTTTGATCGGGCGACTCGGTCGTGCAAGGACCAGGGAAAAGCCCAGCAAAAAAAGAAAAGCCCAAAAAAATCCCAAGCTCAATTGGTACGGCATGCGAGTGGCATTGACGAGGTGGGTTCAATCCCCATTGGCCTCTTGTACCTTCCTGGGCAAGCTTGGCGCCTGCCACCTAGAGATAGCCCGTTGGTCCCCCGAAGCGGCATTGAACAGTGACTACTGATGTTCATAGGGGGAGAGGGGAGGCACAGCGACTGACCCATTGAAGAAGCTCGGTCCTGATGCTACCGGCTGACTTCTGGACGGTATCGCCCATGGTCAGGTGCAGCCCCGGCATGGTTCCTTGTTGGAGGCTTGAACGTGGGCTGGCTGCTATGGGGTTCCTCGCAATACTAATGATAAGTAAAGAAGGCCGGAAAGGTCGTCCTGTCCAGACTCTATGGGTACTTGAATTGCTTGGGCTTAAAAGAATTAGCCTTAAAATAAAATAAAATAAAACAAAAAGAAGAATTAGCATGCTAACCTCGCACCCGGACACCGGACACTTCCGGACTAGTGTCTGGACCGGTCCGGACTGTCCTGTGATCTGGACATCACTGGAGCCAGACAGTCCGGACCGGTGTCAGGGGTCCGAAATGTCCAGACCAAAAAAAAAAAAAAAAAAAAAAAAAGAGGAGGAGGGGGGCGGGGTTGGCAGGCACTCACCTGCGTTGCACTGTAGTTCAGGCAACAGAGCATCTGTCTTGCAGCAAATCAACAAGCACATTCAACCGGCAGACATGCAGAGTTGCAAACAGTGCAAAGCGGGCACAAGACGAAAGATGCGAGAATCAGTGTCCTCGGTAGGCCTACGGGGCCCTGTCTGCCGCCTTACCCGCCCTAAGTGAAGGCGGAGGTGCCCGCCCTAAGTGAAGGTGGGCCTGGCTTTTTGCAAGAGGCCCTCGACTGTCAATTTCATATTTGGGGCCCAGGCAGTTGCGACGCGCCAGTTGGTTGAAAGAAACACAGGCCGAGTACCGAAGACATTTCCACGGCCTACCGGGCCTTTCCAAAGAATGCAGGCCCTGGGCGTGATTCGCAGCCTCATACAGAGACAGTTGGGCACCCAACCGAACGAGGCCCAGCAGCCCAGTAGCTGCTCCATCCAGACAGCATCCTGGGGCCTTCCGGAAGCTGCTGGGCCCAGGCCAGCCCAGCCAGGCTGCAAGAGCTAAAGGAAAGAGCTCTGGCCAGGCAGCTCATTCGGTCATTCGCTGGCTGGGCGGCAGCGCTGCTGGAGCAAAAGCTCGCAGGCTGACTGCCGGCAGAGGAGCAAGGGGCAACACACGTGCGGTCGTGTAGGGGAACAGGGCGCTGCTGAGGGCAGCGCCATAGCCAGCTTCCATAGCGGGCTTGGCTTGGACAGAGTGAGGCGCAGGGGTGGTTCTTCAGGTGTCAGAGAGGACAGGTGTGGGTGAAGTCAGGGGATAGGTGAAGGATGATGATGATGATGATGATGTGAGGGCACGTACCTTGTATTGGCGATGGTCTGCATGRGCGGCATCTTCAAGTACTTCGGGCTGCTGCTGATGTCAACAGTTGCATTGTCTTTTTGTAGTCTGTCGATGGTCTGCATGGGCGGCATCTTCAAGTACTTCGGGCTGCTGCTGATGTCAACAGTTGCATTGTCTTTTTGTAGTCTGTAGTAGCTGTGTAGAAGTAGGCTGGGCGCTGAGCGCCAAGTGTGAGTGTAAGGGAACTGGATACTTGTGTTGAAGAGGAGAGAGTGTGCTCTCCATAAACATTGGTTTTCAGTGCTACGAAACTCCATTGGTGTATTATTGGTGCAATGCTGCTATCTGGACACGGTGTGACTATTTGACTTGCAATGTGATGGTGTGATCTGGGATTGTCATCTCGCTGTTGCTTATTTTCCTTGCAATTTGGTATCGGAGCTGGTTCATATTGCGCTTATTGGTTCTTCGCAATAGCTATTGGTGCTTCGCATGAGGTGTGGGGCAGTGATACGGCATTGGCGTTGAACATTAGGCTGCCCAGGGTTGTGTGGGCGCGCCAGGGAGCTATGTGATATACGGGATGTATGCTGGATGATGAGAACTTGCTGATGTGACATATTAAGCTGAGGTGGAACGGCATTCTGCTGTTGGTTGTGCTGAAGCAAAGACCGGTCATCATAATTGCACATCAGGTTACTGGTGAGAAATCTGTGGTTGGGGGCAGCATTTATGAGGTATGTTGCTCTCTTCCTTATCTACCCTCTTCATCTCTTCTTACCGTGAGGAAGTGAGTTCTGTCTTGAGAGTCCTCTCGATGTGAGGTGTCGCGAGCGCTCAACCTTGAGAGTCGACATTCTTCCTGGGCAGCAAGCTGGTGGAAGACGGGCAAAGCCTCTGAAGGGCCCTGGACGAAGCACTCGGGTCACGGTCACCATGCCAACCCGCTGGGACTAGTACATGCATGCTTGGGCCGCAAGTCCTTGTTCTGCTGCTTGCGCAAATAGGGGTCAACTCGGGCATGGCAGCCTCTATGAGACGCTCACCAGACCGTCTATAAACATTTCTGGTTGGGGACTTGGATTGAATCTGGCTGTGATCGTCGTCCTGACTGCGACGTTAAATAATTCCTGAAGAGATGGGGGCTCTCTTAATAATCCTCCTGATCAGCCAGATCAACCGGGTGTAAGGCTCGTCGGCGTAAGAGGGTAAATAAGAGTGCTGTGGCTGCCTTGCTCGACGATGACTTGAGGCACAGGGGTGGGACCGGATTGCACACCTTTAGACACGCTGCTCAACCAGATGCTCAGGGACGTTGACACAAAGTGATTACTCAAGAAGGATACAGGGGGAGGGGGGATTCCGGTAACTGTTCGCAATGGCAATCAAGAGACAATCTGCCATCAAGCATACATCTCCAACAGGAGATGTTATTCTTTGTTTTGATTATCTAGTTGTTACGGACTTGCTGACAACTGACAGACAGCTGGAGATAGATTAGATCTTTGCTGTATTGCAATCTGTTCCCGGGTAATCTAAAAATAGGTGTAATATATCCTGTAGGACCTGACATTAGTTGTAATTATATCACCCAACTGTTTTGTCCCATCCGACCGAAAGTAGTTGTGTTTTATAATCGGTTGTGTGTCAAGCTAAGGTAGGATTCAGTGTGGGTTCTAGTTTAGATCACACACACTGTAGCTTATGAGTGATGCAAGCACAAGTGAGGAGGAGCTACTAGTGGACGACCGTAGGACTACTCGCGGGACTGCCCGCAGTCGACCCTTGACATTCCTGGAGTTAGGTCCAGGAGACGAGAGAAGATTGAGGAGAGAGGCTAGAGAGAGGGCAGCGGCAAGGAGAGCGAGGGCAGCTGAGGACAGTGCTAGAGCTAGAATTACAGCTAGCATCAGTACAGCCATGGCTACCTCATCTATGACGCAATCCTCTACACAGCCCACTTCGTCAGAAGTCAGTCAGAGTGGTACGCGGGCAGCCACTAGTCAGATTGGTCATGTGCAAGTCAGCCAATCTCCTATCATGCCTGACAAGCAGAAGAACTTCAGGATGAGCTACAGCGGCAGATGGACGAAGTAGTAGAGAGGAGAAGGAAAGCTATGCAAAGAAAAGCTAGACTAGAGAGTAGAGCTCAGGAGCTAGGCAGACTGGAAAGACTGGATGAGTCGATATTGGATCCCGCTGTTCGTGTGTTGCGAGGAGCCTTCCTTTCAGTAGCGGAAGCGCAAAGCGTCCAGCAGGAATTATTGGCTGATTTGGTAGCAGGCCAGAAACAAATTCTGGCTGAACTTCGGGGCCCTCGCACAATGGTGAGGCAGCCGCCGTTTGCTGTAGTTCCCCCTGTAGGTGCGGGTCCATCATCGATGCTGCA